GTAGGCCTCCGCCGCGGAGTTTCGCGCCTGAAAGCCGCGGTAACGTTTGCTTTTTTTTTATTATTTCTTTTAATTTTTTTTTTTAATTTTTTTTGGTGTCTCTCTCGTTGGCAGGACCGCCGCACCGGGTGTCAGGGAAGCGTTAGTCTCCGGCTTTGTGAGTACCTGGAGGTTTTTTGCTTCTTAAGGACCCGAAAGACTGAATCGTGCAACTAAGAAACGGGGAAAATTGAGTAACGGACGCACTCAAAGCGTAACGATGAGCCACCGGGGAAGCTGGTGCGGCCTGAGTTGTAGGTTATGACAGCTGGCCTCAGTTGTCAGACTTTGACAATAGTGAACTTTTTTTTTTTCTTTCCCCCCCTGTTACTTCAGCGGACAAAAGAAACTTGCTTTGCCCTCCTGCAGACCGTGCAGGACTTCAGCAGTGTTGTCTATTTATTTGTGGCTGTGTTTTCTAGACTTACTAGTTCAGTAAGACCTTCTTATGTTGGACTGGTAGAAAAGGCTGCTCTGCCAGAATTTTAATTCTGGAGAACATGGTGAAGGTAACATCGGATCAGTTATGTGTACTGTTTTGCTTTTGAGATAACCATGTGCATCCCATCTCTGTCCTGAATTACTTTAAAAAGAAGACCTTGGCTGAAAATAGACTAAGTTTTGGGTAACTCTTCGATCTTTTGTCTCTTTCTTCAGAGCGCTCTGGGACTTTCCTTTCCTACATGCAACACAGTCATGACAGATCAAGAGTATGTGCTTTGCAAGTGGAAGAAGCGTTTATGGCCAGCAAAGGTAATAGGTGTACAATTGAAGAAAGGTTTTGTGGAGGTAACTTAGCAAAGGAAGAAACAGAATAAGAACAGAAAAAATATGCTTGTGAGAAGAAGCTAATCTATTGATGATTTTATACGTAAACTGCAACAAAGATGCTGATCTACTTAGAGCTACACAGTTGTTGTTAACAACTTTAAATAAGTTACCCAAATGATAGACATTAATTGTTTGGAAGCAACTGCTCTAAGTAAATATGTTTATATTTCTAAACAAGGGTTAGCCTGTAGAGTTGCTGATAATGAAACCAGAAGTTATGGAACGTCGATCCATTATATGCTGTTTGTGTTAAAAACTTTTAAGTCAGATCTATCCTGTGGTCTAACAGACCGGATCAAAGACTTTAAATGCATGTTTTTTCCTTTCTAACGTAGATTTTGTCCAAGACCGGAGCTCCTAGAAAGCCATCCGTTACTAATGCAAAGGAGACATCTTTTAAAGTTGAAATACTTGGCTTGGAGGAACAGTTAAGTATCCTTGTCGTTGTCTCATGTTTGCATTGTTAGATACCCAAAAATACTGTAATCCCTGCATCTGAAAATATCTGTGAATTGAGATTGCTGACTTACAAAATGATTAGATGGCTAACCCAAAACCCATTGCCTTTTTAGAACTGAACATAGTATGTCTAGTGGGACATACAGAATATTCTGTTAGCTCAGGCATTATTCATCTTGGATTATTTATTTAGATATAGATATATAGATATAGATACACACATACATACACGCACACGGGTTTTGGAGAAGACATGCCTTAAGTTTTCTTGCCAGAAGGAAGCAACGCTATGCTTTTAATCAAACTGTCATGGCATTAAAATGTTAACCAGCATTACTGTATTTTCAGGATTAGAGTCAACTGTGCAGATACTGAACCACTGAAGGAAGAGCATATACAAAACATTGCCTCTAATTTAGGTGAGGATGTGTCAAAATTTGCTTTTTTTTTTTTAAACATGCACAAAAACAAAGGACCTGATGGATAATATTTATATACCTCACTTATGTATTTTGGGGGGTTTTGCTTTTCTGTTCCTTCCATCAGGTTTGGAAAGAGAGTAGACATTATCAAAGCTATTTGTATTTTCTTTCCCTTTGTGCACTGGAAGGAATGGAATAGAAAGGTATGAGTGCTTGCATCAAAATAAGAGAAAAATGCATTGGAAGCTTGCACTTTCTGTTTTTCTATATACTTTGCCTTAAAGTATGAAATATGCTTTAAACATGAAGTTCTGTCTGAGGACAAAAACCATACTATGAATAATGATTTGTTATGCCTTAAATAGAAAGAAAGGTTACTGCTTATTCCTTTCCAGCAGATCAGGGGAAGAATTCTAGTGAGGCTGTGGAAGAACTGAAATATCGCCGTGCTCTTAAAATTGCCTTAGATATTTTGAATCAGAATGACTCACCCAGACAAGTACCACCCTCAGAAGAGGAACCAAGTACTCAGTTATCCCAGAAGAACAAGAGAAGATCTCTCTCGTCTACCCCCTTAACTGCTTGTCGATCACTCCTAACTAAAGAAAAGTTAGAGTTTGACGCTCCCAAGAAGAAGAGAGACAAACAAAATAACCCCAACCTGAAAACTGATACCAAAAAACAAAAGTGGAAACACTCTTTCATTTTGGAAGAGGGCACTAAAGCACATGAAGCTGGAACAAAACCTTCAAAACGTAGGACTGGGGACTTGCATAATACATCAAATCCGAAAAGTAAAAATGACAAAATGCCAGAATCGAAATCACTAATAAGGCAGAAAAAAATCAAGCCTGGCCTGCTGCCAAAGTCCCAGACAAAAAATAAATCCTCACTTAAGCCAAAGGAGGAGGAAAGTAAGCAAGGAAGAAAAAGACCAAGAGGTGCAGGATCACCCATATCGTGTATTAATGATTTCCGGGAAGATCAAGTGCATCCTCTTACTGAAGAAAGTAATCCTGTGTCTATTTCCTGCAAGTCTGACACAGTAGTACCTGTCAGAAGAAGGGCAAACACCAAAGGTCAACCTAGGAGGACAGTCCTGGATTCTTCTTGTGAATGTGCCTCGGATAACATGGAGAGCAGCATCAGTAACGAGAGTGAAAGTCTAGCAAAGAAATTAGACAGAAAGAAGTCAGTGAATTTAAAACACAGAGAACAAGAGACCAACGCAACTGCGTCTTCGTGCAGAAAAAGGAAATGCAGGAATTGCCCTGAATCTTCACCTGGGCCTTCAAACCATGGAAATATCTCTGATGGTTTCCTCCCTAAGCTTAAAGAGGAGGAAAACAAGAGTACTTCACACATGCTTAGGAATAATAAAGTAAATGACTTCCAGCTGCCTGACTTTGAGGAAGATGAAGGTGAGCATACCTCTTGGGGAGGAGGAAATTCCATGTCTCTTGATTCCCAAGCATTATTTTTCATCTTCCTGATGAAGAGTTGCAGGTTTTGTTGTGGTTGATGAGGTTCTGAAGTTGGTAGTTTTATGCTAAAATAGTTTATTCTTCTATTTAAGTTTTGAGGAAACAAAAAATGTGATTGCTTTAATAGTGGCTAAAAGACTAAAGCCATATTTAGGTTGTCTGGAGCTGTTTAGTGTTGTGCACCGAAAAATCATAGTTATCGGTGTTTTTTGCCTGTCACTGGATGACTTACTAATTTCATATGGAATTTTGTCTTTGATGCTATCTAGTTAATGTTGCAGGTCAGCATTAAGATGAAATAATGTTATTATAAAGGAACAGGCTGGTACAGAGTCCTGAAGCAAGCCTTTTCTTGTTTGTTTACTTTTGCTGTTGATGCATAAGTATGATCCCAGTCACGGCTTAAGCTGCGGAGCTTCTCCTTTTCTGGCTTATAGCATTTTGTGATGAATTTATTTGTAGATGTCTTGTTTCATTTCTAGCTGTTATCATGAATTTGCTGCTTCCCATCGTAATTTCAGGAACTGTCTACTTTCTGATCCTCTAGGAAGGAGAATTTGTAGTAGCACAACTGAACGGAAGTTGTTAGTCTTTACCTAGGTGAAGAATGTTGAGAGTTTGTATCAGACTGGTGTTACAGTAATTCACGTTTTTTGTAGGCTAACTTTCATGTTTACGTATCTCATGTGGTCTGAAGCTGATCGTTTTAATCATTTATACCTTTGCTTCTAATGGCTGGTGTTTGCTGCTGTTGGCAGGATTGGAATCTTCTGATATGTCTTTGAAGATAAGTTCCTCAGAGAACCTGTCGCTCCTCTCAGCTCTGGTAGATGAGGAAGAGGAAGAAGATGAAGAACTTCCTAGTATTCTATCACATCAAGGTAAGGCATGAGTGTACCTGTTTGAGGTTTACTCACCCGAGATTAGTGTGTGCTTTTAGAGAACATCTGCTTCTGATTTGTTGGTAAGCCGTAGTAACTTCCATTCGTGGAACCTAACCTTTCTAGAAAGTGAATCCAGCTTTGCTCAAACTTGAAATGCATGAGTTGGGGTGGGGCAGGTTTGCTTTACTTGAAGTGTGTTGGAGCGAAATCTGTGGAATGCTTCTTGTGTGAAGGGAAGCTGACAAGTTGGGAGTTAATTGTCTTGTCTCATCTTTTTTGGAAAAGAAAAACAATTGCCACTCTTTTAGTCGTAGAGCCACAGTCAATTGAAGAAGGGATTTTGGTCTGGTGCAAATTGCGAAGATATCCGTATTGGCCAGCAGTGGTAAGAACAACTTGCTACTGTCTCAGAAAATGTAAGAGATCTGATAAGGAACAGCTTACCAAGTTTTTGAGTGTCTTCTGCCCTTTCTTGACTCGTATGGATTTGGAAATATTCAACAACTTCAGTAGAGCTTTTCCTAACTTCTAACATACTTGTTTCCTAAAGCAGAAACTGAGGCAAAAACAAAGGTAAAGAGGTAAATTGAATGTGCTTTTGTAATGTGTAGAAATAAATGTAGTTGATTCACATACTTTATATTGAAGTGGAGGATTGCTACTTGGGCTTGAAGTATTTTAAATCCTGTACCACTAGAGCTGTTCTGTTCCGTTACTAACTAAAAATGGACAGGTCCATATGGACTAATGAGAACGCTCCATTGGGGTGTTTCTCTAGTTTGCTGTACATGCCAGTTCAAAGTTAATTTTTCATCTTGGTAT